TAATTATAATTGTGACCTTAGATTATTTTTTCTTTATTTAAAATACAGTCTAACTGAACTGATATGCTTATTATATTTTAAGAAAAGCATCCCATTGAAACCTTGAAAATTTTTATTTGTTTGCCAATAAATATATACAATTATGAAAATCCTAGTTTTCTCTTTTTACATAAAGTTAATACTTAGATCCGTGCTCTTTAACTATTTTAAAGTTCTGTGGTAATGATCTCCTGGCAACGTGAAAGAAGAGACTGCATACCATTCCCAAGTGGCAGTGCAGTGTTGCTTAGCTACCTATCTAATTTGAAGTATTAGGCATTTATATAATAGGTGGCCCTTGAGCCTTTAAGTGTTTGCTCATGACACATTGCAGTAACTATTGTTTTCACCTTTGTAATATCACTGTTATTGTGAAAGGTTAAAAAAAAAAGTATACTTAATAGCAGTCAGTAGAGAATCTTAACTACATACAGTATTTTATGAGAAGCTCTAATAAGGACATAAATGAATTTATAAACTATACTTAAATATGAGCTTGCTGCTGGTGAAAATGAAGTTCTTTCACGGAGTTGCAAGGAAAGCATTCTGGGAGACCTAAGTATGGGAGGGAGGGTAAGAGGCAGTGGTCCTTGGTTCAGCTCTGGTGTCTCATCTCTGACCGCACTGCCATAGAAGAAGTTCAGCTTTGTCTTCATCAGGCTCCGAAATATGTCTGGTATTTAGACATTTTGTGCTATTGGTTCAGTCCATGTCTCTGTTCTCATCTAGCTAGCTCAGTCTGTGTTCCTGGCTGCATTAAGGGAGAGCACTCTTCATTAAGTTGGGATTTTGTTATCTTGGGTTTAGGAAGGTCTATGCTCTCCATTAAACCAATCAACTTCCCAATTTTTTGTGTGCTTGAATCCTCCTCCTAATCAATCAATATCCTCGATCTTCCAGGGTCATGTGTCCCTTATCCAATCTGGTCCTTTTCCCAGGCTAGACAGGCCTTTATGGTCATCATCTTGACTCCTAATGCCCATGCCTCCTAGTAGAAGCACCTCCCTTGAGCCATCTTGGCTTCAACAGGACATGTGCCAGAGAAGGATTTCCCTTTATTGTTCTGTCCCTCCCCCCAGTAGTCTTCAGGGAATGGACAGGTGGTTCCCTGGGGAGTGTGTGAAACTGCAGCTTCCTAGTGAAGCAGGCCCAGTATTGGATTCAGCTTCCCAGTTTATTAGAATTCTTAATGTCTGATTCCTTTTGCTCCCTTCCTCTACCTATGCTAATATATCTGAAAAAGCAATAGGAATTATAACAATCTGTCATTTGATTGTAAGTAAAATCGTAAAATGTCTAAAATATTACCTATAATTGTCTTAAAAATAGCAGTATTGTTATATTTCAAGAATATTATTAAGTACATACTGAAAAGACACTTTATTTTGTTGCTGTCATGCTACTGACATTACTTTTTCTTAAAGTAGGATATCAAATACTAAACAGTATTATTGTAGTACATGTTCTAATTTGGAAAAAGTGAACATATGAAGATTTTTCTAAGTAGACATTTTAATACAAGTTTTTTCTGTAAATTCCTCTCCCCCACTAAAATGGTTAAAGACATACATATCCATTATAGGAAACATACTTTCAAAAGTATAGATATGTGGAGAGAAGAGATTAAAATTACCTCTAATCCTATTTCCCTAAGAAAAATACTATTAAAACTTTGGTATATTTTCCTCCTTTAATTATCGTTATAGAAATAAATATCATATTTTATACTCAATTTGCATCTTGCTTTTATTTTATTATCACAATATAAACATCTTTTTAAGTCATTAAAATTGTTTGAAAACATTCTTATGGCTAATTATGTGATTATATATTACTTCTCATTTTATTTATATAGATTATTTCCTGTTTTTTATTATATAAATAACACTGAGAAGAAAACATTTTTTAAATATATTTTTATTGATTTTGTACAGAGAGGAAGGGAGAGAGATAGTTAGAAACATCGATGAGAGAGAGTCATCGATCAGCTGCCTCTTGCACACTCCCTACTGGGGATATGCCCGCAACCAAGGTACATGCCCTTGACCAGAATCGAACCCGGGACCTTTCAGTCCCCAAGCCGACGCTCTGTCCATTGAGCCAAACCGGTTTTGGCAAGAAAACATTTTTGTTAAATTTTGGTCACCATTTCTGAATTTCTTAATATAGATCCTAGCTAGGAATATAATAGATCCCACAAGTGAATAGATAAAAACATTTTAAAGACCTCTGAACATCTTTATATAATAGATTACATTCTTGAAATTAGACCATCCTTAATAACATTTACTAGTTTAATTTTAAAAAGAGAAGGAAATACTTAATATATAATTTAAAATTTGTTTTTGTGGTTAAGAAAATGGATTTTTTTCTAATATTAGCTACTCATAATTATTCCTTTCTCAAAAATGTTCTTTTCTTTTTCCATTTATTGATAAATCTTTGTATACTTTCTTATTAATTTTTGGGAGTTCTTCATGTACTAAATTCAACCCCCTTTCTGTCATGTTATCCTATTTATTTACCTTTTCATTTGACTTATACATTTTGCAAAATGTAGATCTTTCTAAAAGATTTTTATAAAAATATTTTCACCTTTTCTTCCTTGTTTTCATTGTCTTTAAACTTACAACTTCCTTTATTGTGCATATTCTCCTACATTTTATATCTTCACCCCATTTACCTGTGGTTAGTCACTGGCTCAAGCTCAGAGGCTTCTCATTGTTTCAAGTCCCAGCACACAGCTGGATATTCGCAGAATAACTCTCCATGGCCCAAACTTGCTTCTTCTTTCAACAAGGTTTCCTAAGTGCCAGGGTCTTGGCTTCTGCAGTGATCAAAGAAGATGCCAATCTCCACCCTCTTGAGCTTTTATCACCTTCCTGCAGCAGTCCAGGCTGGAGTGTCACCCTTTCCCCAATGCCTGGCTTTTCTCATCACCATGACTTTGCTCCATGTGTCACTGCCTGGGTGTGATCCTCTCCTCTTCACCAACCTACTTACGATACCTTGTTCAAGGGCCAGCTCTCCCAATTAGTAGCCACCCGGTACCTCACAGTCCCCCCAGCTTGCTGGCCCTTGGACTCCTACTCTTCTCTCCACATGAGTTCCTTTGTAACTGCTCTCCACCATTGAGATTAACGTAGCCCCATTATGATGTGTCCATAGGTGCCACTTTACAAAAGTAATTAAAAACAAATTTCCTCCATCTAATATTTTTTCATCTAATTCTAAGTCATATAAAGTGTATTTTGCTTGATAGTGTTGGGGTTAGAAACAAAACTGATTTTTTTTCAAATGTTAATCCTTTGTTAGAACACAAATAAGAATATTCTCTTGCCTATTGACTTGTAATAGTTTTTATTGTAGTATACTAAATACTGGATAATACCCAGTATATTGGATATTGGGCTGATTGCCTACTTTCTATTCTGTTTCATTGATGTATTTTGTATCAGAACAACATTATAGATTAGCTTTATCAGATTCCTTTTTATATTCAGGACTATTTACCCCTCTCTATAGAGTAATATAAATTGTTTGCCTTATATCTCATGCTATGGGTTTTCTACTTATTTAATGTTTCTTATTTTTATTGCGACTGTAATTTTTTCTATTCTATTTTCTGACTTGTTTTTACTGGCATATTGGAAGGGTATTTTTTAATATATTTATTTTAAATCTGAGCTCTTTAATATCAAAAATAATAATAAGTTTATTTTATAGAGTTGGTTGATAACTAATCAAACTATGCAAATAATGAAAATTTACTTTTTCTTCCTAAACGTTATATCTGAATTGATCAGAAATTCCAGAGCCATATTAATAATGTTAATAGTGAGCATTCTTATCATAGGAAAAAAGTCATGGTTAAGAAAAAATCATGGTAAATTTTCTATTAAAAATAAAATCACAATTAAAAACAAGTCATTGTTAATTATCCTAGATTAGATGAATTGCTTTGCAAATTTACCATGGGTAAGGTGCATCAAGATCCTGGGAGATGTCCATTTCTCCAGAAGGGGGCAACATCTTATTAACATAAATGGCTAACTTCAAATGGAAAGGAACCAGACGTCAGACCTAGATTGCAGTTGGGAGGAGGAAGGGTAGAGGGAAGCTGGGGGAGTTAGTCTCTAGATCCCCCCACTTCATTTCCGTGAGAGCGATTTCTGGCATGGTGACAAGTGGAATCAGCCTGTTTCCAGGAAGACTATAGGCAAGAGCCAGAAGCGAGCATCCCTGCATTTCCTTTAAAGTGAGGGGGTTGGATGGGAAAGAAGTTTGTGAAATTCACCTCCAGGAGATAACACAGCAGTATTTTTCCTGAACAGCTTTATCAAAGGCTGGCTGTAAACACTGTTAGGATGCGACAGGTGGTTGTAGAAGTTCTTTGTGAAATTTAGCTCAAATGAGTATTTCTTACTCTAGAAGGGTTAGAGGGGATTATCATGACAGACCGTCCCCGACCTGAACCCATTTTATGAATTTGCTGTTCAAAGTTCATGGTGGACAAGAGGTCGATTAGCTGGCCCTCACACTCTTCATATTTATGCCATTGTTGCAGAAACCCGAGGTTACAGGTATGCAACTTAATTTTCTTATGAAAATAAAATTTCAGGGTTTTTCATTCCACATTGTCACCTCAGTGGATATAATCCATAGCTTTCAATGCATACAAATCACTTCAAAATTTAGTGGCTTTAAACATCAATGATTTATTTAGCTCATAATTCTACAGGTCGGCAAATTTAGTCTGAGTTTTAGCGGTTCTTTTCTCAGCTCATGAGCACATATTCTGACCTCATGAGTCTGTATGTTAAGACATTTAATTTGGCTAAATTACTCCCCCTTAAAACACAGCTGGCGAAATGTCTATTTTCTGTTAGTATTTGCTTTACCCATTGTTAACTCTTTGCCTCTTGTTAAATTTACCATGTGATGTCACCCTTATTTTGCAGAAACCAAAGCTGAAAGATTGGCATCCTCCTGGGGGTTTTATTCTGGGATTGTGGGCACTCATCATCATGGTTTTCTTCAAAACTTATGGGATCAAGCACATGAAGTTCATTTTCTAGACATGATGATGCATAAAGAGGACTGCATGGAAGACTACAATCTTGGATGAAAATTTATGTCATATCTTTTTAAAAATACATTGCTCTTGTGTGAATTGGCAAAAAATATAAGGAAACTAAATTTGGCACACTATTGTTTTTTAACTTGAAGGAAAATAATTGTTAATGCAAGTGTTAAATGGCACTGAATATATTTTCGTGTTTTCCTTTGGTGTGTTATTAAAAAAGATGGAACAAAGAGGTCAGAATATACTTATTGACTCATTTTGGAAAAACACACACAAAGAGTTTCCCATTAGCCCCTTTTCATTTGGAAAAGAAAAAAATGTGAGGACATTAAATTCTTACCAGCAGGGCTAATTTCTGATCATAGTTTTGTGTATGTCCTCCCAGTCTTTTTTCTATGTACTTATTTTTGAGGGTCTAAAATAGAGATTGTATAGAACCATTTTGTAACTTCACTTTTCATTTTACAATATATTATCAACCATTTGTCTCTCTTTGGACATTCTACAAGAACACATTGGGAATGGCTGCAGAGTACCCATTTTATGAATGTGCTGTATTTAACAGTGTTCTATTGTTGGACCTCTTACCTTGTTCCCAAAATTGTTCTCTGGTTCATTCTATAATATGTGAATATTTTACTGTCAGTCACTAATGGAATTCTTTAGCTTTAATTATAAGTGAGTATGAAAAATTTGTTTCTTAATATATGGTACTGACAGTCTTCAGGACCTTATTTGCCGTCAGTTTATCTGGAAAACTTAAAATCTTTGGGAATTTCACATATTGACTTCTCAAGAGAAACAACCACTTTATACTTCTAAGCATTCATTCATTCTGTGATCATCTAGAATTGACCACTTTCGCTTCAGTTTCCCTATTGAAAGAGAGGTTGTTTCATTTTGTTTAAGGTAAACCTTGCCCACTGGCCAGATCCATAGTTTTCCTGAGATAGTCCCATAAAGTGGGTGGACTGTATGGAGGATTTACGCATATAGCCCTGCCTTCACATCTGACTGGCTTATCACATAAGGCAGTAAGTAAATAGCCCCTTTTCTGGTCTCTGACAAGATCCAAGAGCCCATTATCTCCATCATTTACCTGGCAGCTTCATACCTTCTAATAACTGGAAATAGTATTCAGAATATGCTTTGCTGTCAGCCCCAGATATTGCTTCTTCACAGATAAGGAGGAGAAACCCTGAAAGTTGCATTCATGTCCCATGGAATACCTTTTCGGATTATATGTTTTATCTAAGAACTTGATGTGTCAATCATCATTCATTGCAACGTCTGTTGTATATGATAGGTAACATTAAAAAGATAACTCTCCACAATAAGCCCTTCCTTAGGATTTGTTTTCCCTTTAGCACTCAGTATTACCCTCTAATTATATGCAAAGTGGCCATCCTTTTCACAAGGATTGCCTGTGTTCTCTCCCAGGTTAGAACAAGTGATATTGAAGCTTCCTGCCAGCTCTGGATCTTCATGTAACTGTCTTTGGTGTACTAGAAAGAGGAAGAAGGGACAATTTTACCTGATTATGTGGAAAAGGATCCTTCTGTACATAGGAGGGGGTGGGGGCGGGGGAAGACCTACATTCTAATAGCCAATTATAGTAGTGCTAATAGACAAAGAATTTGATCATTTCATCTTTTGCACACACCAGGTCATGACCCGGTGGGGTGGGACTACCTAGAGGAAATGTGACTGTTCTTGAATCAGAGTAATTGAGTTTTTATGTAATGAATCAAGCCCTGGTGGCAAAGACTGCTGGAAGTAAAAGGATTCCTCTTCAGAGGTAGTGCTAGGTGCCCTTCTTAGTTAAAACCAAACTGGGACAAGAAGTATTGGATGTGATGCACAGGATTTGTTTTGCCCAGGCAGAGTTTCAAAGGGCAGGTGTATCTCTTTCTGTTTCATTATTGAATTTTCAGAATATAGTTAAAGTAAAATGCTTAAAATACGTTAAGTGTTTAGCTCGTAACCATGATTTTTTTTTTTGCATAAAGTATATTTTGCCTTCAATAATATCTTCTCGGCATATGGTAAGTGGGTAATATTGTAAGTGCAATTAAATGGCCCAGACTCTAAATGCTAACATAAAAACACATCCTTAAATATATTCTGTTGGAGTCACAAAGAGCTAAACAACCAAAATGTGTTTTCTTTTTGTCTCTCTGTTGTGAGGATCAGATGAGATGATGTTATGACTAATCACTTTGGAAACTAACTAGATGGTGGTGTTATTTTTCTCATTTTTTGCTTAGGAAGGTGCTAAGGGGTAAGGTTATGCTGCCAGTGCCCCTATTTCTGTGGCACTTATTTACTTTTTTAAGCTACTCAGTGTGATTCTTGTCTCTTTGATGTCCTTCCGGGAGGAAAGGGATGTAGAGAAATGGATCCCACAGGCATGTCCTGACCTTTGGGGGAAGGGACGGGGAATATTGATGCCATTCTGCAAAGGCAGCCTGTGTGAGTAAAGGGAAACCAAACTATGTGGTTTCACAAATTATGAAAGACATTCATTTGCAGTTTATGAAAGGTAAATGTAGTTTGGATGCAAAGCTGATTAAATTGGATCAAGAAAAATTCGAATTAAGTACATAAAATAATGCACGCATTTATGGTTTCAATTTTTATATATCCTCGCTAGTTGAAAATGATGGTTCCCACAACAAGCATAACTCAGCTTGTTTCTGCTTACTGAGTGTTTTTTACAGTGGTGTATGTAGGTAACATTTCTTCCATTATGTATGTTGTATAGCACAGTCACAGTTACTGTGAGAATCGTAATTTGAATTTTTGACTCATGTGCTTCTGGAATCTTTACAACAAACGTTGCATTAACATACAACTTTTTTTCCCCATTGATTTTACCAAAATCAGATCCATCTGTAACAGATACTGTTTTAACTTGTGAAAGAAATATTTTATAATCATCCCACAAGGTATGTCTATAATGAGGTCGGTGTGCAATTCTACTATATGGAACCAGCCTCATTACTTCATCGTCATGTCTCCTACCCCAGGGCATTTATCACAGAGGCAGTGTCTCAGTCCCTCCCTGCTGCCGCCAGCCTTGCCTGCATGTGTACCTGCTGCATAAACAGTCTTTCAGTTCTTGGACAGTACACTTTGGTCACCAGTCTCATTCTTTTTTCACTCTTGGAAATGTGCTTTAAAATATTTGGGTTAATTTAACTGCACACTTTTGAATAATGGCATCAACAATTGACGAAGGTGTGACTAAGGAACCAATCACTAAAAATTCAGTTACTTTGAACATGGAAAGGCGGTCCCCATCATTCCTGTTTTCTGGGCCGTTTGCAGCCTTGGAGACTTCAGAGGATTCTGGGTTTGCCCGAGGAACACCCCGTCAGGGGCCTGCGCATGCTGCCCCTGTGATATGACCCATGCTCTGTGGCCCTCTCCTGTGCTAGAGCTTCAGGGACAGCTGGCAGGAACCATGTAGCACACGTCGGGTCACATGTAAAGCACGTCATACAGCGCCTGGCACGTAGGGGAAGTCAGCCTTGTGTCCTGGGCTGCGCAGAGCTCTACCTGGCTCTTGTTTTCAACCTCCACTTAGGCCCGGGGTTACATTGGCCTTGGAGTGCCCTGTTCCCTTCTGTTTATAGCGGATGTCCTTTTGGGGTAACAGCTTTTCACTTCCTGTCAACACTGTCGGGTGGCAACCCGCAGACCCTCTTGTCTCCCTTTTCTATTTCCCCTCCTATTTAAATAGGCCTTTCTCAGTCTTCCCTCAACCGTCTCCCTCAGTGGCCTGTCCACGGTGTTGTAAGCACACTGTTAGCACGGCCTGACGGACAGTCTGTCCCCGTTGCAGGTCCTGGATGTCTGGGCAGGAATCGCTCTGGACTTCTCTCTCACCCGGCCATGGCAGAGTGGGCTGCATTTCCAGGAGGAGCCTCCCTCTTCCCACCCCACATGAGTCAGAACTTTCAAGTGTCAGTGATAGAAACCCAACTAGGACAGGTTTAGGTCAAGAGGGGGATTTGCTGGAGGGACATTGTGACATCTCACATAACCTTTCGAGAAGGAAGTCTGCTCTGGGCCTCACCAGGGACTGGAATTCATCACGGTTTCTCTGCGTGCTGCCTTTACCCCTCCTGGAGGCTGACTCCTCATGTGCCTGGGGACTCCAGAGCTTCACATCCTCCCTTCACCACAAGGAGGACAGTCACTTATTCCCACGTCTAACTGTCTGTGGAAGAACTGATTAACCTTGTCCATCTCTAGGGTTCACCTGGCCAGAGGGCCGAGGTCCTGTAAGAACATAGCTACCTGTCTATTCAGGTCCCGCCCAGAGAGGGGAGGTCACAGGAGCCAGGGGGTCACCCTGACTAGTATTTCCTTCTGAGGCTTGTTCAACATGTCTAATGCTTTAACAGGCACTTAATTAGCACTTACTGTATGTAGGACCTGAAAATTCTTGTGGCAATCCTCCAAGAGGTGGAGTCTGCATTCCCCTCCCTTGAATGTGGGCTGGCCTGCATGATAGAACTCTGATAAATGGGATGTGGCAGAGTAATGCTGCATGACTTCCAAAGTTTGGCCTGAAAGGAGATCCAGCAGCAGCGTGGCACTCTCAGGACACTTGCTCTTGGAGCCCAGCCACCTGGAGAAGCCAGGTCTGTGTGTGCTGGCACAGTCTACCGGGGCCCAGGCACCAGTCCAAGCCACCTCCAGAGATGGAGGGAGGGAAGCTCCAGGCATGTCCTGACTGCAGCCACACGGGAGTTCCCCATGCAAGAACCACCGTGTGGATCCTTGGGATGGTAAGAAATAATAATTTGAAAAAATTGGGTTTTTATTCAAAGTTTAGGCTGTTTTTTGTATAGGAGTAGTTACTGAAATACTGTGTTAATATGTTACTTGTCTAGTAGATGCTCTGAGGGATACAAAGAGACAGGATTCTTTTTGAAAGCGTTACAAATTCTTAAAAGACACACATGAAAAGACTAATTAGCAGAAAATGCCAAGTGCCAGAATAGGGATTTTTAAAGGAACTATTTTTTTTAATATATATTTTATTGATTTTTTTTACAGAGAGGAAGAGAGAGGGATAGAGTTAGAAACATTGATGAGAGAGAATCATCCATCAGCTGCCTCTTGCATACCCCCTCCTGGGGATGTGCCTGCAACCAGGGTACATGCCCTTGGCCGGAATTGAACCTGGGACCTTTCAGTCCGCAGGCCGACGCTCTATCTACTGAGCCAAACCGGTTTTGGCAGAACTATTTTTAATTGCTATATAAACACATTATTAATATTGTACTTACTATCAGGGGAAGTGGCAAAGAAGGCTGTAAGAAAGAAGTGGCCTTTGACTGAGCAACCAGATTAGATTTCTCTCTTCCTCGCCTTCTCATTCCCCACTATTGCACATCTACAATTATAAATTTTCTTCAGGCCTGTCCCTCCAAGTCAGCCTTGGCTGCCATCAGAGGAATATGCTTTGTAATCTGAAAGTTAAGTTGGGGGAAGGTGACCACCTCTACTTCCTGCTCTATGTCCTACAAATTTACTGACACCCCTTCTCCCCTACCCCCCGCCCCCGTTATCCCCGCCCCCACCCATTTGGTCACAGAGTGAGTTATGAATCCCACCCCTTGCTCGGGGATGGTGCCTCTCTCCTGGTCCATCAGTCTCCCTTCGCATATGCTTTCCCTTTCATTCTATAAAATGTTCAAGCTTTCTCGTCTTAAAAACTTTTGAAACTCTTATGTCCACTTTTAAATGCTAAAATGGAAATGCCATATACAGCTCCCTTTTACTTCATTTCCTGGTCTTGTTTTGCATGAATGGGCAGCTTTCACTGACTTGGCTTTTTTGTGTTCATTCGTGAACCTTTTTGTGAAGCGACCTGCCCCCTATCTCCTCCCCGCCTCCCACTCACCTGCAGTGATTTTTTTTGTGTGTGTGTGTGCGTGCTGATATCAAAGGTCTAACTGCCAACTCCGATGGCAGTTAGGTCCTTCTCTCTCCTTAAAGTTCAATACGTAACAATTGCTGGTTATTCCCACTGTTGCCTGCATGGCCCCGCCCCGCCCGGGGCTTTCTTCCCTAGACTCTCCTCTTCTCCAGGTGCTCCTCTCCCGATGTTCTGCACAGCCCTGTCCTAAACTCTCCAACTTCAACTCCCTATCTGTGGTTTCCACTATTACCCCTACCTCATCTGCAGCCCAATTTCGATACCTTCATTTCTCTCTTGAGTTCCAGAAGGGCCCCTTTGTGCTTGAAAGGCCCACAGAAATGTCAGACTCCGCATCCCCCACGCTGAACTTAACCTGTTCATTACCACCTCATTACCCAGCTCTTCTCTCTTCTTTTTCTTTTTCTTATTTTAGATTCTGAATCCTCTCTGAATGGGTACAGACTGTTCAGAATATCTGTGCCCCATGCAAATGTTGGCCGCCAGAGCATTCCGCCAACGAAGCTCTTAATCATCAAGTGGGCAAAACGCCATACTCTGTGGATGTCAGTTGGCTTCTTCTGCCAGCCATCCCGGTGCTTGCTCGATGGGCCCATGAGAAACAGTGGGTGCAGACTCTGCATGGGCTCCACAGGTTGGATTCCTCCTTACCAAGGCTGCTCTGGCTGCTGGTGCTGCTGAGCGCCCAGTTTAGCAACAGCAGAGACCCACACTAGCAGGGCTGGTGCCTCCCTTCCCCAGGTTGTGGGTCAGCTGCATGGACGATCACAGAGCGGGCAGAGGTTCGTCCACTCTGAGGTAGATGTATTCTGGGTATGGATTCGTATTCCCTGCTCTTTAAACTTCTGCCAGCATCACCCTCTGTGAGCCACAGAAACCTGTACCTACCATCATGGCATTCTGCGAAGTATTGCGTCTGATAGAGGCACTCATGTCACAGCGGGGAAGTGCAGCAGTGAGCGATGGTCCATGGAATCAATCACATTTACCACCCTCCCCCGAGACCTGGCAGTGGCTGGCCTTCTTCAACATGGACTGGCTTACTATGTGATGTCAGTCTTCTGGTCAGACTTTGATTGATACTCCCCCCTCCCAGACAAGATGGTGTTAAAGGGTAAGATTCTTGGCCACAGTCATTTGAATTGTTCAGATTATGCCTCTGGGTTCAGGGGAAGTCCTCTTCCAGCCAGAGGCCAGGGTAAAGGACGGGATCCCCTTCTCACCACCTCCCCCTAATTCCACAGCCTTCCCTGGGAGACTCCCGCTGAGGCTGAGGGTGGAGGGAGTGCTTCCTTCCGGCATCCGCTGGCCCCGGTGACACACACCTGGAAGCCACCTGCTGAGAGTCCTGTCGATTCTGTTTTAAAATCCCTGGGTTCTTCCAGCTTTAGGCAGCTTTCTGTCCTCCTTGCAATGAATACAAGAAATGGAAGGATTCAGGCAACAAGTTTTCTTGTAACCCTGCCAAGAATGGAGATGGATAAAAAGAGGAAAACAGCATGTTAGAGGCAGACTGTAAATATTCTTGTTCAGTTAGTTACAAAAGTGCCTCCAGATTAAGAAGCCTGAATAGAACAGTGATGAAGAGCCTGAGCTTCACATTTCCGGTGCCTGTCAGCTTGATAAATGCACATTATACAAGGAAACGAGTAATTAAAATTATAAATAAGAAAAAGCACTTACACAACAAAAAAAACCCTAAAGATTTGGAAGAAATATTAAGGCTGAAGAGAAATAAAATCAAAGGAATAAATATAATGTATCAAACAGGTTAAAATACAAAACCAGAAGTTCAGAAATTATGAGGTATAACTAGGTAAAATGGGATAAAAGAAAAGTTTAGATGTTAAAATCAGAAGCTAGAATTTCAAGTATATAGTTGTAAGTAAAGCTAAAGTAGAAAAAGGAAACAAAGATGTTTTAAAGTGAAAGCAATGGAAGGAAAATTTAAATGGAATATAAAGAGTAAACCAGGTAGCTGAAACTATTTTATTTTATTTATTTATTTTTAAAATATATTTTATTGATTTTTACAGAGAGGAAGGGAGAGAGATAGAGAGCCAGAAACGTCGATGAGA